AGATCCATAGTGAGAGAGGACACATATATAAAGTGTTGATTCACTTCCTCAGCCAACAGGCATCCTGGAAAACCTTAAGTGACAGGTTTGCGGAGCACATGTCAACCAGAGAAGCCACTGCATGTTAGGTTGTTCATACCAACAAAGGAACATAGGAGGTTGCCATATACCCAGCCAAACCATTGGCATAGCCAACTTAGTATTGCCTACACTGACTGGAAGCATCTCTCCAGGCTTTCAGATGGAGGACAGTCTTAGCCCTATCTGGAGATGCTAAGGATTGAACCTGGGACCTTCTGCATGCAAAGCAGACTGAAAACCCACCCAGAGTAGAAGAAAAGCAACGGTTTGAGCTCTTTTTTCTCAGGTTACAACATTACTAAAAAGCAATACATGCCCTAGATTGAACACTGAGAGGGATGAGAGCTAAATAATGCTAACATGCATCTTCAGTGGAGGAAACACTGAAGAGGGCCTACTTAGTGGTGGCTCCCCAGTTGTGTAACACACTCTGCAAGGAAGTTGGCCTAGAACATACCTTATGGTCTATTTTATCAACAGGCAAAGTTATTTCTATTTCTCAGAGCTTTCTAGATTCAGTCTGCTGCATAAAGATTAACAGAGACAGTACTGGAAAGGTTTCCCTGGGTAGAACATTCCACAGGCAGGGGCCACCACTGAAAAGACCACCTTGCACACCTCCCTCAGGTGCAGCACCCAGAGAAAGGCCTCCGATGAAAACGTTGATTTCTCTCCATTAGTCTGCTTTTGGAAGCAGTTCAAACACTCACAGCTGCATTGCCCTACACAAAGGTAAGAGCAGGCTGTTTCATGCAAATGTGTTCCGCTTATTACCAGGTTAAGTGAGTATAGATGCAAATCAGACATTCATATGTACAAATGAATGCTTGGCGTTCCCCGTAACCCTTTCCCTCCAAAGAGGAACATGGCTGGATGGCAGATCTTAGCTGAATTAGGAACACAGGAAATTATCTTATTACTGATTCCTTCTTATTACCTTGTTCAGGACCTACTATGCTGGCTGGCAATGTGCGGCTCCTCCAGGGTTTCAGGCAGGGGTGTGGCATTCCCAGCCCTACCTGGAGATGCTGGGGATTGAACATGGCACCTTCTACAGCCACTCCCTTAAATTACACACCAGTGGCTGGGCATACATACAGTTTTCTGTGTGGCGGCATGCCTTCACAGAGAGTCCAAGTGCAAAGGTGGATAGGGCTTCTGAACTTTTAATAAGCAGAAGATGACATTTCTGCAAGTGCAACCCGTATGACAAAGCTCAGATTTCCTCTTCTACACAACTACTAACGGAGCAGAAGGCCTGTCCTGTTTTTCATTCGGACAGCCTACTAATTCCCAAGGCTTGGGCCCACTCAGCATCCCAGGCAGCATCCCAGCCTGCACCTAAATTAGCACTGGGGTGACCAGAAGAATAATGTGCAAAGTTAAGAAGCCCTGCATCAACATAAGAAGAGTCAGTTGGCTCAAGCCATTGGCCCAGATGGCCCAGCGGCTAACCAGGAGCTCATGGGAAGCCCACAAACAAAACCTGAGCACAGGAGAAATCTCTGCCCCCACTCAGTGGTTTCTAGCAACATCCAGAAGCATTACTAACTTCAACCATGGAGGCAGAACATAGCAAATATGTGTAGTAGCCATGAATAGCCTTGTTGTTGTTGTTTAGTCGTTTAGTCGTGTCCGACTCTTCGTGACCCCATGGACCAGAGCACGCCAGGCACTCCTGTCTTCCACTGCCTCCCACAGTTTGGTCAGACTCATGTTTGTAGCTTCGAGAACGCTGTCTAACCATCTTGTCCTCTGTCGCCCCCTTCTCCTTGTGCCCTCCATCTTTCCCAACATCAGGGTCTTTACCAGGGAGTCTTCTCTTCTCATGAGGTAGCCAAAGTATTGGAGCCTCAGCTTCACAATCTGTCCCTTCCAGTGAGCACTCAGGGCCGATTTCCTTAAGAATGGATACGTTTCATCTTCTTGCAGTCCATGGGACTCTCAAGAGTTTCCTCCAGCACCACAGTTCAAAAGCATCAATTCTTCGGCGATCGGCCTTCTTTATGGTCCAGCTCTCACTTCCATACATCACTACTGGGAAAACCATGGCTTTTACTGTACGGACCTTTGTTGGCAAGGTGATGTCTCTGCTTTTTAAGATGCTGTCTAGGTTTGCCATCGCCTTTCTCCCAAGGAGCAGGCGTCCTTTAATTTCGTGACTGCTGTCACCATCTGCAGTGATCATGGAGCCCAAGAAAGTAAGATCTCTCACTGCCTCAATTTCTTCCCCTTCTATTTGCCAGGAGGTGATGGGCCCAGTGGCCATGATCTTCGTTTTTTTGATGTTGAGCTTCAGACCATATTTTGCGCTCTCCTCTTTCACCCTCATTAAAAGGTTCTTTAATTCCTCCTCACTTTCTGCCATCAAGGTTGTGTCATCTGCATATCTGAGGTTGTTGATATTTCTTCCGGTAATCTTAATTCCGGCTTGGGATTCATCCAGCCCAGCCTTTTGCATGATGAATTCTGCATATAAGTTAAATAAGCAGGGAGGCAATATACAGCCTTGCCGTACTCCTTTCCCAATTTTGAACCAATCAGTTGTTCCATATCCAGTTCTAACTGTAGCTTCTTGTCCCACATAGAAATTTCTCAGGAGACAGATGAGGTGATCAGGCACTCCCATTTCTTTAAGAACTTGCCATAGTTTGTTGTGGTCGACACAGTCAAAGGCTTTTGCATAGTCAATGAAGCAGAAGTAGACGTCTTTCTGGAACTCTCTAGCTTTCTCCATAATCCAGCGCATGTTTGCAATTTGGTCTCTGGTTCCTCTGCCCCTTCGAACTCCAGCTTGCACTTCTGGGAGTTCTCGGTCCACATACTGCTTAAGCCTGCCTTGTAGAATTTGAAGCATAACCTTGCTAGCGTGTGAAATGAGTGCAATTGTGCGGTAGTTGGAGCATTCTTTGGCACTTCCCTTCTTTGGGATTGGGATGTAGACTGATCTTCTCCAATCCTCTGGCCACTGCTGAGTTTTCCAAATTTGCTGGCATATTGAGTGTAGCACTTTAACAGCATCATCTTTTAAAATTTTAAATAGTTCAGCTGGAATACCATCACTTCCACTCGCCTTGTTATTAGCAGTGCTTTCTAAGGCCCATTTGACTTCACTCTCCCAGATGTCTGGCTCAAGGTCAGCAACCACACTACCTGGGGTATACGAGACATCCATTTCTTTCTGGTATAGTTCCTCTGTGTATTCTTGCCACCTCTTCTTGATGTCTTCTGCTTCTGTTAGGTCCTTTCCACTTTTGTCTTTTATTATGGAAATCTTTGTATGAAATGTTCTTTTCATATCTCCAATTTTCTTGAACAGATCTCTGGTTTTTCCCATTCTATTGTTTTCCTCTATTTCTTTGTATTGCTTGTTTAAGAAGGCCTTTGTCTCTCCTTGCTATTTTTTGGAAATCTGCATTCAATTTCCTGTATCTTTCACTATCTCCCTCGCATTTTGCTTGCCTTCTCTCCCCCGCTATTTGTAAGGCCTTGTTGGACAGCCACTTTGCTTTCTTGCATTTCCTTTTCATTGGGATGGTTTTCGTTGCTGCCTCCTGTATAATGTTACGAATAGCCTTATCCCCCATTTATTTGTATAATCCTCTTTTAAAGCCATCTCAGTTGGTGGCCATAATTGCCTCCTGTGGGAACAAACTCCATAGTTTAACTATTCACTTTGTGTAGCATTTTTGTTTATCTGTCCTGTATCTTCCAACATTCAGCTTCACTGGATGTCTACATATTCACAAGTTATAAAGGGGCAGAGCTTTTCCCTACCTACCTTCTCCATGCCATGTCTAATTTTATACATTCCTATTATGTTGCCTCTTACTTGCCTTTTCTCAAAACTCAAAAACACGCATTTTGGTTGCCCTTTCCTAAACATTTCCCAACTCTACAATATCATTTTTGAGGCGAGAAGTGGCAAGAACTGTACCCAGCATTTGCATTACGCTATCTGCTTATTAATTTCCAATTCTTTCAGGAGTGATCTCTAGTGTGGAATTTGCCTGTTTCCACACCTGCCACATAGCAGGTCTATATTTTCATTCCAATGTGACAGAAAGGGGTATCTATGCTATGAATTATCCAGGTCTGTGGGTGGGCCATTCCTGTGTGCCAAGCTTCATTTAGATCAAATGCTAAACATCCATTTGCACACTGGCTATACATGTGGCCTATCAAGCATCAAACTTCGAGAAGAGAAAGCTGGTTCCACTCAGTGCCCTTGCGTCCCTCTCTCTCCGAGACACACACATATAGTAGTTGAACCCACCTCACAGGACGGTTGTGAGGATTAATGATGACAACGGCAGGAATGTTGCTCCGAATTCCTCCGAAGTTCAAGAATAAAACCAAAATGATGGCCTATATGCACAGCATGAACGCCAACATGAGAGTGACTTCTTCTAAAAGCAGAGATGAAAAACTTGTGGCCCTCAAACTGTTGCTCGACTCTTAAGTCCCACTATCCCGGCCGTACTGGGGCTGCTGGGAGTTGGAGTCCAACAAACACGCGTGCAATGGCAATTCAGAAGAGCAGGCGCTGCTCTTTGGTTAAGAAAGGAACCAAGGAGAGAACTTCCAAGTCCTTTCCCAGAGAGGCTCCTCGTGGATCAAAGTAACGCCTTATTACTCATGTCGAGTCTCTCCCGCGGAGCGAAGGCCGGGTTGGTCCAACCCTGTCCCAGGGAGCAAACTCGCCCGCCCACCGCTAGGTCCTAGTGAGTGGCTCGGCGGAACCGGCCGTCGGCCCACGATCCAGCCCACCTCGGGGAAAACTTCCCGCGCGCACGCCGCCCCCCTTTCCAAGAGCGAGAGAGACCTCCCCCAGTGAAAGAGGGGGTGGGGTGGAATGGAATGGGGCTTAGGAAGGGCGGGGGGGGAGGACAGACAAACCCACGCCGGATCTCACCCACCTGCCTGGCTGGGGACCCCGCCGTGCGCGCAAATCAGGGCGCAGAGGAGCGCCGCCCGCAGGTGCCAGGCGCGGGCCGCAGCAGGAGGCATGTCTGGGTCCTCTCCGGAGCAAGCAGCAGCGCCAGCAGCGAGCGCCCAGCTCAGAGTGGCGCTTGTTTTTCACTTTGGGAACAATGATCGCCTGTAAAGTGATCGGGGCTCCCGGGGACGCAACCGAGCAGCAGCAGCAGGAGGAGCAGGCGAGTCAGCGAGCAGAGGCGCGCACAGGCGGGGACCGAGGGAGGAATTCAAGGGGGTGGGGCAGGCAGGTGCGCCGGCGGGGCTCTAGCAGCTCCGCCCCCGCCGGAGAGGGGCGGGTCCTCGCCGCCCTCGCACGCCGCGGCGCGCGTCCGTTTCTTATGCTGAGGAGCCGCCGTGCGTAAGCGGAACCCGAAGAGCCTTCGCCAAAACAAAGAGCTCACCCGCTTAATTTGAGCTGCTTCAGTTAAGAAGCAGGCTCCATCCTGGAAGTTTTATACGGTGATGATGAATAAAAAGGTGTCCTTGCGCGCGTGCAGTGTGTTTTTCTCCCGCACCCACTCTGCACATGATCACAGGCCTGCCTTGCAGGTGTTGCTACCTGCAGTAATTAGGGGAAATGTCATTATATTTTTTGTCCTGCCTTTTAAACCCAGAGTGCTACAGAAAAGCATTCGTGAGATACACACATCGATGCAAAGGTGATAAAAGCAACAATGTAAATAAAATAAGAATAGCGAAAGTTAAAACTACTGTATAAAAATCAGAAAGGATCCAGTGGCTGGCTTCCGGAAGTAATCTTGGCATGTAAGTGGTATATATTAATTAATAACGCTGTGGGTTTTGCATCACCCATCTTCATATTATTATTATATTTATATACTGCTTGATGCCAAAATACCCATAATTAAAGTATGAAATAAATCAATCCAACTGAAACAACACAGCAATTAAAACAAGACACTAAGTGATCAGGGGAATGACTGTGTCAATAGAGATGCCTTCAAAAGCCAGTACAGATGAGGCTATAACACTGGTGCCACACTGTAAACATATAAATGTTTTTAAAAAGAATCTCCATGTCACCAGAAGCATCAGGTCAGGCCTCCAGAAACAACTGTGTCTTGATCCAGCACATAACACAGCTAATGCTTAAGACAGCTGCATTCCTGTGGGGAGGGGATTCCACACTTGGGGTGCAGCAACTTAAAAGGGCCTGCTGCATGTAGTCGCACCGTGGACTGTAGCTGTAGGTGGAACTATGAGCAGGGTCTCCTCCATAGATCTTACAGCATGGGTCAGCCAGAAGGAAGGGATGCAATCCTTCAAGTACTTGGGGCCAAAGCAGTAGAGAGCATACTAAGGCCTGGGGGCTGGATCCGGCCCAATTGCCTTCTAAATCCGGCCCGCGGACCGTCTGGGAATCAGCGTGTTTTTACATGAGTAGAATGTGTGCTTTTATTTAAAATGCATCTCAGGGTTATTTGTGGGGCATAGGAATTCGTTCATTTTTTACCCCAGAATATAGTCCGGCAACCCACAAGGTCTGAGGTTCAGTGGACCGGCCCCCTGCTGAAAAAGTTTGCTGACCCCTGGTATAGAGCTTTATAGACCAAAGCCAGCACTTTAAATCAGCCTCTGTAGCAAACAGGCAGCCGCTGCAGATATTTAAGGACAGCTGTCACATTATCTTCCACCACACCTGAGGACAGCAGGCCAGTTAAGGGCAGGGGTGGGAAACCTTTTTCAGCCGGAGGGCCACACTCCCACCTGAACAACCGTCCAGGGGCCACATGCCAGTTGTGGGCGGGGCCAGAAGCACAAGCAGACTGAAAAACTACCTTTTTGTGCCATAGGCTAGTTTCTACACCCTCCTCCCTGCACCTCTCTGTCCTCCATCTGGACAAGTAAGAGGCACTATCAGAGTTCAAGGACCCCTTTTAGCTAGGGGAAAATGCTTGGTATGGGAACCTGTGTCAGTTAGATGGCTTTTGAAAGGGATAGTCTCCCATCCAAGTACTAACCAGGCCCGACCCTGCTTAACTTCCGAGATCGGACGGGATTGGGTGCATTCAGGGTGGTGTGGCTGTAGGTTTGAAAGGGATAGTCAAATTTTCCATTGATGCCCATTGTCCCCTGTCAAGACCCAGGGCACAAAGAGCCTAGGGATTTGATCCATTCAACTTACTCAGTTTTATTTAGGAGAATGCCATACGTTGTGTGCAATCACAATAAGTAAACACATACAACTGCCTGAAGAAATAAACTCTCTCTTCTAATCATGCATGCTCGCCTATAAGCATTTCCTGGCAACTTTAACACACATACCTGCAAAGTGAACGCATAAAATAGCACCAGACAAATGTTTAAATTGGGAAAACCTGTAAGAATGCAAGTTGAGAATAACATTAGCTAAAATCGCCCCCTAGTGGATTACTAGGACAAAGTCAGCAGGCAAGTTAGTACATACAGTATTGTGTACTGGCCTACCTTACAGAGTTCTTGTCAGGTGTGCTTTGAGCAATTGGGAAAAGAGCCACGGATGAAGTTTTAGCCCAGATCCAACTCACAGGCAAGTAGTCATGCACACCCAATCAGCCTACCCCAACCTGGTAGTTCAAAACAGCTGGAGGGCAAAGGCTGGAGGAGGCACTAACAGGAATGCTGGAGAATGGCCATTGAAGTAGATAAAGTTTCCTTCTGCATGACCATGACAGGCACACATTGAATTTCTGAATGGTCCCTGGGATGCATGAAAGCCGGAGCTGGTGGAATAAACCCTGTTCTTTGAAACTATTCTATTCAGTTGCAGAAAATCCCATGCTATGAAGATTGCTTATAGATGGTTCCTCACACCTGTGCAAATAGCACATATTCAAAACTCAAGGAGTAAGTCCTCTCAGAGGCACTGTGGAGCCATAGGGACTTATTGGCACATATGGTGGAGCAGCCTGTGGGCACATACTTTCTGGACTCCAGTTATGGGGGTGGGAATTAGCAACATTATTAGAAACTTAGTCCAGCTAGATGCCTCGTCTCTATGTTTACTTGCCTGGAGAGCTGCTTTACAAAATTCAATTAAGTACAAATTTCAAAGGACGGCTGTGTTTTGGTTGTCATATTTGGTTGTTGTATTGTTTTGGAAAGTACAGATGAGATAGGTTTGCCATTTAAATGACTGAATACCCCCCCCCCACACACACACACAACTAGTATTCTCTTGCTGTGGCCTGTTGGATTGTCTCAGCCTGCCTTTGGTTGGCCTACTATATCCAAAACATTTCGCAGGGGAGCCATAAATCACTCAAGAGACCGTTACTATGGCAACACGACTTCTAGAATTGGGGAAGCACTTTTGAAAATCCAGGCCAAAATAATGCTTGGGAGGAGTGTGTGTGCAAGTGTTGAGTTTTCTGGAGATTTTTATTTGTCTCATAGTTCTGGGTTAAGGGGAGCAGGGTTTTAACTCTCCTCTTAAAATATTATTTCAACACATAAAGAAATAAATAACAGCAGTGTTGTTTTCCAGTTATCTCCAGAAGTGTGTGATCAGGTGAGCTTAGGTTACCTCAGCGGTGGGAAACATTTCCTCAGGCCTTCTGGGTAACCTCCCAAGGGGCCCGTGGCAGTGGTGGGCGGGGCCAGAAGCAAAAGTGGGCGGAGAGATGGGTGTCAATTCTACATATGCACAGTAGCCTAGTTTCTACCACACACTCCTCTCTCTTTCCTCCATCCAGGCAAGGAAGAGGCATTATCAGAATTCAAGGACCAGTTAAGCCAACACACCAAGAAGAGCAGATGAGGGTATGGCTTGGAAGAGGGGCCTGGAGAGACCTCCGAGGACCAGATCAGCTGGGAAGGACCATGGTTCAGTGCCCTGCATACAGAAAGTCGGTGGTTCAACCCCCAGCAACCTCCTTATCGGGGAAGAAAGAGAGAGAAGGAAAATCAATTTTAAAAAATTAAAAAATTCAAGACCAGGTCTCTCCATAGTTTTCAGTTTAGTAATAAGCTGTGACAAGTCTATTTCTGAAATTCTAGACTTGAAAGAGAAGTTGCTGAATTACAACTTATTACAAAACTGAAAACTATGGAGAGACCTGGTCTGAATAGAGATATTGGATTCTTGTCTCATTACATATGTTAAAGCTATTTTTGGTCATCTGCATACTATCCTTTGCTTTTTCCTGTAGGACTAGTTGCAGTCGTTCACAGTCATCAACAGGTTTACGACACCCATTAAGTCAATTACCCATCTCCTTCTACCCTTCTGAGAAAAACTCCACCCCACCCTCCCACTTTACATAAGGGTCTGGTGACTTCTGTTTCAGTGTATCTGAAGAAGTGTCCATGCACATGAAAGGTTATACCAAGAACAAACTTAGTTGGTCTCTAAAGTGCTACTGGACAATTATTTAATTTTTTTATTTATTTTGACTGCGTCAGACCAACTCGGCTACCTACCTGAAAGGAAAATCAAGTAGGGGTGGTACGAGAAATCTTTCTGTGCTTAACACCCTGAAGAGCCACTGCCATCCAGTGTAGACCAAGGGTGGGGAATCTTTTTTCAGCTCCACAGACAAGATCCTTATCCAGATCAGCCTGAAGGGCCAAAATTGGCAGCTACCTGTCAAAATCCCTTAGGGAATGAAGCTGAGAAAGATTTCTCTGCTTGTGGCTCTCCTGCCCTGGAGGAGGAAGAGAAGAAAGCCTGTGTTTTAAAAATCCAGGCTTTCTTCTCTTGTTTACACCAGGAGCAGAGGCGGCAGCTGCGGGGGTGGGGGGCAGGGAGAAAGAGGAGAAAGAATTATTCCCTTATCTCCCCCACCCCCTGGTGGTATATAAGCAGACTGGAAGAGAGAAGCAGTTCCATCAAACCACTTCCTTCTCCTTGTGCAAAGTGTGCACCTACCACGCCATCGGCTTCCAATGGGTAGTTGAAAGCACACATTGTTCCAGGGTAAAGGATCCTTTGGGAGCCCAGCTCCTGGTGATTCCATTGCAGCCCCTGCCTTACCCTTCGTCATCTCACATCTGATATCAAATGGGGTGGCCTAGAGGGCTGCGAAGGTTGCCAACCCCTGGCATAGACAATACTTAGCTAGTCCAACTTGGCATAAGGCTGCTTCCCATGATTCCTGTGGTGTAGAGAGCCAGTGTGGTGTAGTGGTTAAGAGTGGTAGTCTCATAATCTGGGAAACCGGGTTCGAGTCTCCACTCCTCCACATGCAGCTGCTGGGTGACCTTGGGCCAGTTGCACTTCTTTGAAGTCTCTCAGCCCCACT